TGCCGATGATATTGCACAGGCACGGATCCCAATGGGAGTTCTACATACTTTAACAAGTGATTCTGTACCTTTTCGATGGGACTTCACCCATCAGCGTGCATTTGAAGAAGTAAAGGCACTCGCTAGTAAATGCCGAGACCATCATAGGCGCCCAATCGATCACTCGGAGGGCGCGCCACCTATTAATTTAATCACCGATGGATGCGCCACTGGCATCGCGGGTGTAATTAGCCAGGGTCATGACTGGAAGACAGCACTTGTCGCTGCATTCTATTCAGCTAAGCTGTCCCCAGCCCAGCAGAATTATCCTGTCCATGAAATTGAGATGTTGGCTGGATTAGAAACCATGATGCGGTATCAAGACATTTTACTTGGAACGAGATTCCGTTGGTTCACGGATCACAAGGGGCTCATTACTTTATTAAATCATCGTGACCTTTCCAGACGGAGGGCGCGTTGGCTGGAGAAGCTCGGAATGTTTAATTTTGAGGTTGTATACATTCCAGGCTCTGAGAATGTCCTCAGTGATGCTCTCTCACGGATATATTCGAACGATGCTCCCGGAACCGTGCGCGCACCCAGTGAGTACACTGAGCATGATGAGCACGAGAATCCTGGTGCTTCTTTGCATGGTGTGATTGATCTAATCGCGGCACCTGTTCTGGTGGGGATGGAAGCTGAGTGTGCTTCCATGAATGTCAACTTCGTGGGAAGGAAATCCAAGTGCGTACAGGAACGCGAAGGCGCTGAAACTAGGCGCCCAGAAACCTCGGATGAATTTGCTGCACGAGTGAAGGACATGTTTACCCTCAAGGGCCCTGAGAAGCTCATGATCCGGCTTCCGAAGCGAACTCCAGAAGGATTGTCCCCGAGGAGGAGAGTGCTAATAATAGCACTCCTCCCACGACCATCAACGAAGACGAGATTGATACTACAGAATTCCCGCTGCTCAATCTAACAGCAGATTTAGATGGGATTGATGTCTTGAAGACAATAAAGGGTCGATACAAGGATGACCCCTTGTTCAAACCAATAGTGGAAAAACCAAAGGAGTACAAGAACTTTGAATATGACGAAACTGAAGGGTTATTGTACATGAAGCAGGAGACTCGACGTCTTCTATGCATTCCAAATGTGAAAGTGGGCAGCAGAAGTGTCCGTGAGATTGTGATCTCGGAAGGCCACTCCGTTCTCGCGCACCTAAGCTTTAAGAAGACATATGATTACCTTCGTGAGTATGTCTGGTGGAAGACCATGTCTCCTGACATTGAGAAGTATTGTGAAACTTGCAGGACTTGCAAGCACAGTAAAGATAATAATCACAAACCATATGGCCTGCTCAACCCGACATTCCTGCCACGACCCAGATCGGAAGA